TTTGTTCAGGCCAGCGGAAGATAATGTTTGACGGATTGTAAAACGGCTGTTAAGCATCGCCGCCAAAAAGTTGTCGCGCCGTGAAATATACTCTTCAGACGAGCTGGGCGCCAGCTGATAATGCCTTGAAAGTGTCAGTTCAGGTAAATGGTTGTAGGATGGAATACTTGCCATCAGCGATTTAGTTTTTCCCGACAATGTCAATAAAAGGAACATTACAAGAATTGATAGAAAGCATATAGAAAAAGCCTATGAAAATATTAAAATACGTTGTTTTTTTTTGAGAAATGTGAGGCATGCACTAGAAAACATGGATATAATTAAGGATTATAAATAAGGATTATCAAATACATTTTAAATCACACCAAAAGACTAAGTCGTTAACATATTTAGACAATGTTCTTTTTAGAATTCTCATTAATTTTCACCGGAAATTACGTAAAAACCACTCGATTCTTTAAACTATTGCATTGGACCTTTTTAAAAGAGCTCGTTTTTGAAAAGAGACGTTAACGGAAAAAATCTCAAATTTTCAATTTTGTAGTTTTGAAATGTTAACTTTTTGCAATTTTTTAAAAGTACGGATAGTTTGCCGAAAATTGGAAATTGCACAAAAAATTTACCGACTCTTCATACATACGCAGATAAAATTTTAAAAGAAACATTGGTGAGGTTTTTGAGAAAAAATGTTTAAACATTTTTAAAAATTGCCTATATTTCACGCAAAATGTCACAAAAACTATTTTTTAGTAATTTAACATAACAAAAATCAGTCATTTTAACGAACAACCGATCTGCTCCATTCTCTTAAGCGTCCTTTACGATATCAGAGGAAAAAGATAAATCAGAATATTTGGTGCCATATTTGAGAAAATTTTGAAAATGGTTTTGAGGCTTCATCATGTAAAGTATCCTCAAAAATGAAAATATACGAATGAAACCCAAAAAGCCTTGTGTTTGTTCTGGTTGATTGGGGAATATAAATTTTGGAGAAAACCGGCAGAACGGTTTGGGGAGTAGCGTTTACCAAAGGCGGTTGGTCATGTTGCTGTCAATCGAATTTTCGGTATCAAGGACCCACAAAACACAGATTCTGGCTACACCCCTTGTTAAATGAAGTAATTTACTATATGTAGGTACAGTATTTATCCAATTTTTTGTTACCAGATCCGACAAAGTTTTTTTGACAGAAATTCGCCATCTTCCGGCACATAACCATATTTTGTCTTCTTAAATTCATAAGAGCGTGAAAGTAAAAATCTAATGTTTATCGCAATGTAAACGTTTTGACATTACTGTCATCTATTCCGAATGATTATTCAGTTGTCTCAAATACGAAGCCGCTACTCAAATCGCGGCTGTCTGAACTTAAATTCAGAAAAGGTCTTAAGGATTTTCGGTGAGTTATATATGAGCAATTAACAGAGACGAATGGATGAAGTGTACCGTAGCATCACTACTGAGTGTCACTAGCAACAAATAGACTACTAAGTTATTTCGCCGCCACCACCGACTATTGCCTCGTTTAAACGCTGGACGTGCTACCGATTATTCAACATGGAAAACAAACGTGAACGGCAATCAGCGAGAGCAACAGAAAGAGTCGACAGGAGGAGGTCCAATTACTTTCCTCGAAAGAGCTGGCCTGTTCCGCCTTTTTCATTTACTCGCACGACAGCTGCACGATATACAACGTTGTACAAAGATGTATAGATGGAGGAAGATGGAAGAAGAAATGTTGTAATTGGGAACGTAGGCTTCCGCGGCTCGAGTTCATGACTTCTAGGCTGTCCTGGTGACGCCGCGTTCTTGGCTAAAAGGCCGACGTTTCGCCTAGCATATCGTAGGCTTCTTCAGAGTAGTGACCAAACTACCCTAAGAAGCCTGCGATATGACAGGTGAAACGTCGGCCTCGCAGCCAACGCTGCGGCGTCACCCGGACGGCAAAGACGTCAGAGATGTGGAGGCTGGGATGTGAGAGACAACCTACGGTGTAATATAACTCTCTATACTACTACTACTTTACGCCCACAATTTTTCGAGAATATGTAAACATTTAATGGATGTTCCTGAAAATCTGGGGAATCTCATTTACTTTTTTCATGAGGAAATTTAAAGTCCTAAAAGTCTGAGTGGGGTAAACTGAAACAACGGAGGAGACGTATTAGGCTAGGCAACCCACCCAACACGCCTGATGAGTTTCCGAGAACGCGCGGGTGAGAGAATGCTTCACAGAACGGACATTTGCGAGAGCTTCTAATAGTATGGATTAATGCGCGGGCGTGGTCTGTCTGCTAGGCAATTTGCCGTACGTGTGCGTCAAGCGGGTTCCCGCAGCAGGCGTCAAAATCCGCGCTTTCGCTCGTACAAACTCACAAAGCAACTTCAAGAGGATCAAGAGGAACAAACAATATGTTCTTCGCTCTATATTTTCGCTTCGACCCATCCTCCTCCTCGATATGTTGTAAGGGAGTATGAGCCTGTTCCATTGTCATAATACCCTCGTCAAAAAGGGAATAGAAAGATGCTGCCTGTTTCGCTTTGAGAGGTACAGAAATACACCGGGCAAATTTCATCGGTATATGAGCTTATATTATAGGCTCATGAAATACAATCAAAAGTGATTTCAAAGTTACTCTCAGAACTTACGTTATTTTCCCGATGCGCTTTGGATTTTTTTTCAGAATTACCCTGTGTACACTAAACAGTATTCTTACAGTGATTCAACTGTTTTACGACTGTGTATGGGATGTTTAAATGATTCCGAAGGCTAGGTGATTACTAGAGTAGGATATGATTGAGGAAGAAACATTATCGGAATGGCGGACTGGGTAAACACCTGGATTCCAAGAAACCCACCGTAAATCCACGTTCACCACAAATTACGCACAAGACTATAGGAATTTAAACTCCGGTCCCAGAAAAGAAGGCTTCGCGATTTTATGGCCAACCTTGTGGATCTCTTCCCTTATCATGCATGACCATTCGAGGCTTGATTGATGTTTCCGGGCACGTCAACTCGTATGGTCATTCATCTGTTAGTGTAGTTAATGTTTTATCCCGTGAAGTGGTCATGTTCCTCTCACACTAGACGGTGAGACCCAGCTACAACCCACACGTCACCTTCCGGCGGAATTTTCCCTACTCGGAATCTCCTCCAGTGGGACACCGCCCCAGCCGGGTCAAGTTGTGAGTTTCCAAATGGTCTCCCGAAATATGTGATACAGCCCGTAAGTGAAAGTGGGTGTGTGTGTGGGCGCGTGTGTGGGCGTGTGTGTGCGTGCGTGCGTGTGTGTGTGCGCGAGCCTGTGTGTGTGCGTTTGCATGTGTGTGTGTGTGTGTGTGTGTGCGCGCGCGCGTGCGCGCGTGTGTGTAAGTGGAGCTGATAATACGAGGAAGGTAAAAGGTTCGCGGACCGCTTGTTATGGTAGCGCTCCGCCACGCGGGTCGGCGCGCAGGCGTGCCTCACCGATGGTGTTGACGATGGGCTTGAGGAGGCCGCCGCGCTCGAACTCGTGCGCAGAGATCTTGCGCACGGGGTGGGCGCCGAGCGCGCGGCGAGCGCCGGCGCCGGCGCGAGGAGAGGCGGCGCGCCGCCGGCTGCAAGCGGCGAGCCTTTGCGCGTCGCCGGGCCCCGCGCCCGCGCTCCGCGCTCCCGACGCCCCCGCTGCTGCGCGACACCAGCACGCGTCCACCGCCTGACCGTCGCCTTCCTGAAACGCACAGCCGGAAGAGCGTTACAGACAGCTTTTGATTGACGTGGCTGAAACGAATACTCAGTAGTAATTCTTTAATGGGCGCCTAGGTTCAATTTTTTTTTAAAACCCCCAAAAAAAATATTATATATATATACTATATATATATATAATAATATATATATCTGTTGTGTGTGTGTGTGTGTGTGTGTGTTTTATCGCTGATATCGTGTCTGGCTAAAAAAGTGCAAGACAAATACTGCTACAAAATACTGGATTTTTCTTTACACTGCTTATTGTTATATTCAAATTACAGAACTTAAAAACAGTATTTCTTCGCCTACGTCAAATAAGTTGTTTGTTTTTGTTTTACTTGTGGCTCTGTGATTGCCCGTCAAAGACATTAAACATGCGAAATCAACACAGTTTTGTTTTATAAATTCCAATAATAAAGGAACACCAGCGACGGCTCATGCCGAAGCACACAGTATCTCAGACTAAACGTTACAAACTTCTAGGGTGGTAAAAATGTAGAAGGCGGTCGTAAATAATAAGTTTTGCCCGATGGAGATTTGGGAAACTTCATGGAAAGATAACACGTTGACATGTTTCCTGGTTTGACATTCATCCACAGATGTTTGGCCAGACAGCGTTCTAAAGCAAGATCATAGAAATTTCTCATGTCTTGTCGAAGCATTATGCGGGGGTGTGTTATAAACAGAGGCCATGTCTCGAGTATATACCTTCGATCTACAAATCACAGTAATATATTCATTGGTTAAAAAGTTGTCATTTTGACTCCCGTAGATTTCTAGAAAATATTGGAACATTTATTTTGAGATAGTCTGTTTTCCGTGGAGTGTCATTCTTTAGTCTTAGAAAGTTATTTTCTCGTATTGGTTCTTCATATCTGACTCATATTGAGTTTCGTCTTGGCGCGGAAAATAATTTGTAAATGCTTTATTTTCTCAAATCACGAGGCAATGAGTTAATGTGGAAAGTTTCTCTCCCTACCGAAGCTCATACGAATGTAACACCTCAACGAGGCAAACCAGTAACTCCAATCGCGACTCCGGAAGTATTAAAAGCAGAGAGTTTTTACAGCAAGCCTGGGAAACATTGTAAACTTAAACGATATTCGCGCACTTTTTAAACGCTCTGCGCTTGCGCAATATTCTAACATCCTACGTCCTAAAGTTATGAGCGGAAAACTGCTAACTCTTATTACAATT